GCTCCAGCAGGGCTGCGAGGGGTCTGCAGTCCTGCAGTCCTGCCTTCACACGGTGCCTCCTGCGGTGAGAACCCTCGTGTGTTCTGCGTCTGACAGAAACAGGGCAAAGGAGGAGATGGTTCTGAGCCTCTCGGTGCGCCCAGCGCCCTGGGTAGCCCCTCTTCCCTTCTTCCCTGTGCGAGCGAGACACCCGCTGTCTCCGCCAGAGAAGCAGCCTCATGTCTGATCGCAAGGCAGGACTGAGAATTTTAATTTATTTTCTTAACGCCGCTCGTCTCTGCGGGCAGATCCCCGGTGTAACCCGGCCGGTGTGGGCTCGGTGGAGCTGATCCGGGTTGCTCGAGTCTGTCACCCGCATTCCTGGTGATACGGGGTGGGGAGATGGATCCTGCCAGGTGCTGCCTTATTTCCCATCTTCTGCACGCTCCAGGCTCTGCTGGTTTAAGGCTGCTTGTTGTTTCAGCAGCAGAAGGGACACAATATCTGTCCGCACGGCACGATTTAGTGAGGGTTGGAAACCTGCCAGGGAGTCTAAATAAATTCAGATTCAACAAGGGGCGTGATTCCAGCCAGCAGGCTGGCTCTCTGCACACCCCAGCTCTCACAGATATTTTGTTCTTCCTCTGTTGCTGATTTCTCCTAAAGTTCAGCTCGTAATAACCAGAACAGCAAAAGTGCTTTTTTTTTTTTCTTTGCTAATATTTGTTTTATCATCTTTCTTTTTCATCCCTAAGTGTGTCTGTGTGGCAGTGGGGTCCTGGGGGCTGCTCAGAGAGTCCCTCTGCTGCTGTTTGTGTACCTGAAGTCAGATGCTCTGGTTGTCGTTAGCAGCTGCTGTGGAAACAGGAACAGGACTTCAGTAGCAACAGGAGGAAGTGACATTTTTTCCAGGAGCTAAAAACAGCTCATTCTCCCCAGACCTCTTTCCAATTTCGTGGGGGTAGATGAATCCCTCCTTAGAGTGAACAGCTGCCTCCAAGTTGGATGCCAAACCAGAAAGAGCTGCTTCTTGATGCTGATTTGACTCTAGCCCAGCTCTTTCAAAAACCACCCAAAATGGTGGAAAATACAGGTGATATTGGCAAGATGTAGCACGGTTTTGAAAAGCTTGAGTCCAAACCCTGCCTGTCTTGTTTGCAGTGTTTAAATGGAAGCATGTTCAAGTCTGGCCTTGAATTTGAGCCCTGACTGCTGCCTAAATCTAATCCTGTGCCAGCACATCTTGACTTCAGGCAGTTGCTGCTTGGCCATCTGCTGCAGGAGGGCTGGGGAGCAGGGCAGGCTGTGAGGAAAAGCCCCCAGGAGAGGAGGGTGTGAGGGCACCCACTGGTTCACCAAGCCCAGCTCCCTGCTCCTCTAGGCACCATCTCCTGTCCATCTTCAGAAACGTGCTGAGTGTCACTTGAGCATCTTTCCCTTGTGTATTTAGGAAACAGCTTCAGAGACTGTATTAAAGATTAAAAACTTCCTAATTTCCAGCCAAAGCATGTTCAGGTCTATCTCATACCCCTGTTTTCCTCCCACCCTCACATTTGCCAGCCCTGTTTTTTCAGTTTAAACAGTTTGTTTTCTGTCTTGCCACAATTTTTCCATAGGCTGCATTTGCACATCCCCCCCGTGTTCACTGTGTGATCTGGGCCAAGTGTTCTCTGGTGTTTCTGGCCCAGCTTTGTGCCAGTCCCAGCCTTTTCTGCAGCTATGGGAGCCCCTGGTCTGTGGGGTAGGTGGGCAGTAGATCCCCTCCCCAGGTCTTTAGGTGACTGGATATGTGGGTGAGAGCCAGCAAGAACAGAGGTCTGTTGGGTTTTGCCTCAGTGGACCCTCTCTCCAGCAGCCCCTGCAGTGCCTGGGCAAAGGGATGCTGAACTGGTGCAGCTCCCAGCAGCAGGGGACTGGGAGACAGGAGCAGGATGCACCATGGATGTGCAGGTAGCCATGGTGACAGTGCCCACAGCAGGGCTGAGTGGGAGGGGTGTGCTGGGGCAGCCCTGCCTGGGGTCCAGCTGTCCCTGGAGCATCCCGAGCCAGGCATGCCACGTGTGCTCATGGGGATGTGCAGGGAAACCTTCCTGCCAGATCCTTGAGGGGGCACAGGGTGTGCACACGGGGTTCTGCTTCTTGTCCCAAGAGTCCTCCCCTGCTCTGAACTTGCATGGGAAGGGACATGGTTGGAAGAGGTGAGGAAAACAGACATAGCAAGTCTATGCTTGAAGAGGCCCCTCTCCAGGGAATTTTCTTTCTTGCCAGCAAGACAGAGCTCTAAAATGGGGGGACTTGATAAAGCAAGGAACTCTGCACATTAAATTCATAACGGGCTGATATGAATTTAATGAGCCTGGGAATGTGTGTGATGACTTTCTGTGCGTGGCGCTGTGATCAGACGAGGTCTGTGTCCTCTGCAGCAAAGAGCTGGGTCATGTGTGCTGGGAGAAACCAGCAGCTCCTGTGTGTCAGGCTGGGTGCCCAGGGACCATCTGCGTATCCAAACTGTGA